TAGTTTACAGAATCATTCAATGAGAATCAGATCAGATTTTCCCCAATTCTAAAATTCAACACTCTCTCACATGGTATCAGAGCAAGTTACGTTCAACTTGTTGATCCAGTGTTAAAGCCTTTGTTTGTTCACTTACCTATCATCATCTGCGTCTCTGTTTACTCTGCTTTTTCCCCTTTTGCTTCTGTCCTTCATCATGTCTGGATCCACTATCTCTGATGGAAGTTCTCCAGCAGATGAATCTGTCATAACCTTCAATCCCGCTGCCCAATTGCCGTTGAAGCTTACCTCCACCAATTTCAGCTCTTGGCGATCACAGCTTGAGACACTTCTTATGGGGCTCGATTTGATCAGTTTTATTGATGGCACCGGTGTTGTTCCTCCTCGCACAGTCACGAACGACGACGTCACCGGTCCCAATCCTGTCTATCGTCGATGGTTTCGCCAAGATAAGTTGATTCTCCACGCTATGCGTTGTTCGATCTCTGAATCGCTTTACTCTTTCGTCTCTGCTGCTGTCACATCTCGAGAGGCCTGGTTGATTCTCGAGAAATTGTATGCTGGGAGATCTGGGTCTCGGATTATTAATCTCAAAGGGAAGCTTGCTCGCATAACCAGAGGAAATCGTGATGTCCTCAGCTATGTGAATGATCTGAAGCAGGTAGCCGCTGAACTTGCTCTTGTTGATGACCCAGTCTCCGACCTCGACCTGGTCGTACACTGTCTTCGCGGGCTCGGTCCCGATTACAGCCATTTTTCGGCAGCTGTTCGTGCTCGCGGGACAACAGTCTCAATTGAGGATTTATTGGATTCCCTCATTGAATATGAGGCGGACTTGAAGGAGCAGATTCACTCCGTGGCTGTTCCCACCGCCTTCCACTCACAGGTACCTCCTCGGCGGTCTTCAGGGAGCAGCGGCGGTAACTCTGGCGGCGGACCCTCTTTCTCCCGCACTCCGCAACGTCCCTCTCAGGGTTTTTCATTTGAGCCCACTCCGCCTGCCCGTGTCTCTCATTCTGGGCCAGCTCATCCTTCCGAGCCCAATAGGCCACGCAAGCCCTCTGTTGTTTGCCAATATTGCGAGCGGGCTGGGCACTCTGTCAAACAGTGCTTCAGGCTGTTTCCTCAGGCCCGTCAAGCTTTTCAGCAGGCCCGTCAGGCTAATCTCACTCATATGGGCTCCTCATCATCTTCTGGGCCTTGGTTGATGGATTCTGCAGCGTCCCACCATGTGACTCCAGATTTGGGTCAACTTTCACTTTATTCGGACTATACAGGGCCCGATGAAATTCTTGTTGGTGATGGTTCAGGTTTGGCGATAACTCACATTGGCTCTTCCACTGTCTCTCTTGGTTCCACTCAATTTCACTTGCGCGATATTTTGTGTGTTCCAAGTATACAAAAACGGCTCATTTCCGTTGCCAAGCTTTGTCAAACTAATCCTGTCTCTGTGGAATTTTTTTCCACACATTTTATTGTGAAGGATCTTCGCACGGGGGCGCATCTGCTGAGGGGGGAAAACAACGGTGATGTCTACGAGCTACCTCGAGAAGTGGAGAATATTCGGCTGGCCTTGGTCACCACTCGCACCTCTGCCGATTCTTGGCACGCCCGCCTTGGTCATCCCTCCCATTCGTCCCTCACAAATCTTATCCGGTCGAATTCTCTCCCTGTTTCGTCGTCCCTGACTAGTTCACCGTGTGATGCTTGTCTTTCTAATAAGAGCCACAAACTGCCATTTTCTTTTTCTTCTTTGACTAGCACTCGTCCATTTGATCTTTTGTACACGGATGTTTGGGGACCAGCTCCCGTTTCTTCCATTGATGGTTTTCATTACTATTTGATTATTATTGATCATTTCTCACGTTATACTTGGTACTATCCTCTGCGCAAAAAATCTGATGTTCTTCCAGTTTTTCTTGATTTTCGAACTATGGTTGAAAACTATTTTTCTACCACCATTTGTCGTCTCTATACAGATGGTGGTGGTGAATTCATTAAATTGCGCTGTGATCTTGTTCGTCATGGTATAACCCATCTTCTCACTCCTCCGCATACTCCTGAACATAATGGCCTGGCTGAGCGGAAACATCGTCATTTGGTCGAAACGGGTATCACTCTTCTTCATTATGCTAAACTTCCGACGTCTTTTTGGTCATTTGCCTTCTCCACTGCTATCTATCTCATTAATCGTATGCCATCTTCGGCTTTACGGGGTGCCATTCCATACACTATTCTTTTCAATGTTTCTCCTAATTATCATAAACTCCGTATTTTTGGTTGCTTGTGTTATCCATGGCTTCGGCCCTACTCTGCTCACAAACTCGATCCTCGGTCTCGACCATGTATTTTTCTTGGTTATTGTCCTCAACGGAGTGCATATCGTTGTTTTGATCCTAACACACGTCGCATTTTTGTTTCGCGTCATGTTGTTTTCGTTGAGTCTCAATTCCCAGGTTTTACCACTGTTCCTGCCGAGGCCCATTCTCCTGCCTCTTGGCTTCTGGATCTCACACCCACAATTACCACTGTTCCGGCCCACTTGCCTTTCTCCACTTCCAGGCCCGCTTCACGTTCTCCCCTGGCAGTATCCCCTGCGGAAGAACCTTCCTTGCCTGGGCCCGCGCCCCCAGCTGCTGCTCCTTCCCTGTCTGGGCCCGCGCCCCCAGCTGCTGCTTCATTGTCTTCTGGGCCCGAGCCCACTGCGCCCACATCCGCGCCCGGGCCCCTGCCTGCCCCTGATCCGTTGGCTTCTGGGCCCGTGCCCCATTCTTCTTCAGCTTCTGGGCCCCAGCCCTCCTCGGCCCACCCTGTCACTCCTCCATCCCGGCTGCCGCCCCCTGCTGGCCCACCTCCGCCTCCTGTTCGCTCGCATCAAATGGCGACTCGGGCACAGCGGGGCATTTTCAGGCCCAAGAAGCGCCTTTTCCTCACTGAATTGGCAGTTGGGCCCCCTCCACTTGAGCCACTTTCTGTTCATGAGGCCCTGCGATATCCTGAGTGGAATGATGCTCTTCATGCCGAGCATTCTGCTTTATTGGCTAATTCTACATGGGACTTAGTTCCACGCCTGCCTCATTATCACGTCCTTGGCAACCGCTGGGTATATCGTGTCAAGCATCGTCCTGATGGCTCTATTTCCCGGTTCAAGACGAGACTTGTTGCCAAGGGTTTTCTTCAACGCCCGGGTCTTGACTTCACTGATACTTTCAGCCCTGTCGTCAAACCGGTCACCGTCCGTACCGTTTTCACCTTGGCTCTCTCCCAGTCCTGGCCCATATCCCAGTTTGATGTCAATAATGCATTTCTTCAGGGTCCTTTGGAGGAAGAGGTTTACATGGTTCAGCCGCCTGGCTTTGTCGACTCATCTCGTCCTCATCATGTGTGTCGCCTTCGCCGTGCTATCTATGGTCTTCGTCAGGCTCCCCGTGCCTGGTACACTGCTTTGAGTGCCTTCCTTGTTGACTTTGGCTTCTGCAAAACTAATTCCGACGCCTCTCTATTTGTCTACTCTCGTGGGAAGGTACTCCTCTACTTCTTGGTCTATGTTGATGACTTATTGCTCACTGGCAACGACCCTGGCACGCTCGCCTCCTTCCAGGATGCTCTCTCGCACCGGTTTTCTCTCAAGGCTCTCGGGGATGTTAATTATTTTCTGGGCATTGAAGTCATTCCCACCTCCACTGGCTATATCCTCTCTCAGCACAAGTACATGGTTGATATTCTCAATCGCTTCCAGATGACTGATGCTAAGCCTGTTGACACTCCCTTAGCGGCTTCCACCTCTCTCACCCTCGATGATGGGTCTCCTCCTACCGATGCTACCCGGTTTCGTCAGGTTATTGGTGCTCTGCAGTATCTTGTCTACACTCGCCCGGACATTGCCTACTCTGTCAACAAGCTCTCTCAGTACATGCATTCTCCGAAGTCCTCTCATTGGCAGTGTGTTAAGCGGCTTCTCCGCTATGTCTCTGGCACCCTCACTCATGGTCTCTCCATTCGTCGCTCTTCTGGTGCTTTGTCCCTCTCCGCCTTTGCCGATGCTGACTGGGCCGGTAATCTTGATGATCGGTCCTCTACTTCTGGCTATCTTGTCTACCTCGGCTCCACCCTCATCTCTTGGCGTTCTCAGAAGCAGCGTACTGTTGCTCGCTCCAGCACTGAGGCTGAGTATCGAGCTATTGCTAATGCTACAGCCGAATTGGAATGGGTTCAAAATCTTCTTCACGAGCTCCGACATCCCCTAGCTGCTGCTCCTACCATCTACTCTGACAATCTTGGCGCCACCTACTTCAGCTCCAACCCGGTCTTCCACTCTCGCATGAAACATCTCGCCCTCGACTATCACTTTGTTCGACAGCTTGTCCAGGCTGGTCGTCTTCAGGTCTCCTACGTTCCCACGACGAATCAGCTGGCGGATGCTCTCACCAAACCCTTAGCTGCCTCACGCTTTCTCCTCCTGCGAGCCAAGATCGGAGTCGTTGATACCTCCTCCGTCTTGCGGGGGCGTATTAAGGATATATGATTTTTCATTTTATTCTTTTATTATTTTCTCCACAACTTTCAGTTCCTACATTTTTGGGTAGTGCCTACGTGCACCGGCTTTCTCTCTTCCAAAACTTGTATATTAGTTTACAGAATCATTCAATGAGAATCAGATCAGATTTTCCCCAATTCTAAAATTCAACACTCTCTCACAATTACCATTTACCACCACAACAAGATGTCTTAACTCTTACGTACGTATACACAAGCCTTAGTTTCTTGTCCACATATTGAAATATCGTCAACCGGTTCAAACCATCATCCTAGACATAACTGATTGAACGCATGCAGATCGTCCCAAAACTGAAAGTCCAAATCAGGACATTTTTCAAGGCACGTTAGAGCGGAGAGAGACCCATTCACCCAACTTCTCCATCAGTACTCACTCCCTAGCTTAATAATACCTGAGAAATTTCCAGCTATAAATACCAGCAGCCATTTCACAAAGCGAAACCCAACAGCCCCTTGAAGTAAATTACTTCTCCCATGGCAACCATGCAATCTTCCAACAACCTAGTACTCCTCTCAGCCGCCTTTCTCCTCCTCGTACTGCTGGCAGCCATGTGTCCAACCAAAACGACTTGTCGTCAGCTGGACGACGACCAAATCATCATGCGGCTGAAGCACGAGGACTGGATGGTCAAACACTCCAGGTCCTACAAAGACGAGGCAGAGAAGGAGAGAAGGCTACTTATCTTCAACGACAACGCCAGACTCGTCGAGGCTTTTAATAACAACAACAACGGTAAGAACGCCGGGTTCAAGCTTGGGCTCAACAAGTTTGCCGACCTTACCAACGAAGAGTTCCGGTCCACGTACTTGGGCTACAAACGCCGCCACTCTTCTTCCCTGAAACAATCCACCGCCGCCACCTTCCGGTATGCTGACGTGTCAGCCGTTCCTGCCACCATGGACTGGAGGAAGTCCGGCGTCGTCACACCTGTCAAAGACCAAGCCAAATGTGGTAATTAATTACTAAAAACGTCAGCACTGATTTAGGAAGAACTAGTTGCTTTCAATAACTCAAAATTGTTGGAAGAGGTTCAATAATGAATCTTGTACCAGTCACTAATACACCCCTCAAACGAAAGTCAGTCAACTAATTATAAGGACTTTCATCTGCTTTACAAGTGGAGTCATCTGGATTCAAACACAAGACCTCTCGGCCACAAAATGCCTTCATCTGTTTCTTTTAAGTACATGATATTCATATTTATACAAACTTCAAATCCTTGTGAGTTGCTTTCGTTTGATGGAACGTATTAGTACACGATTGACCATCTCCCCCATTCAGGTCATTTATTTTATATTTTGTAATATATATACATGCCATTTGTAGCAACGTAACGTAATCTCGTGTGTGACACAAGCATGGCTAAATTGTCAGGGGCATGTTGGGCGTTTTCGGCGGTGGCAGCGATGGAAGGAATCACAAAGCTGAAAACGGGGAAGCTGATCTCCCTGTCGGAGCAAGAGCTCATAGACTGCGACGTGGAGGGCGAGGATGGAGGTTGTGAAGGCGGGCTGATGGACAACGCCTTTACCTTCATTCGGGCCAAAGGCGGCCTGGCGACGGAAGCCCAATACCCTTACCAAGCCCAGGACGGCACATGCAACAAGAAACGGTCCTCTTCTCCTGCGGCCAAGATAAAGGGCTACGAGGACGTCCCCGCCAACAGCGAGCGAGCTCTGATGCAGGCCGTGGCTCATCAGCCGGTGTCCGTGGCCATAGAAGGCGGCGGGTTTATGTTCCAGCTGTACGGGAGCGGGGTTTTCGAGGGATCTTGCGGAACGGAGCTTGACCATGCAGTCACTGCGGTTGGCTACGGGACGAATGGCGACGGGAGTAAGTATTGGGTGCTGAAGAACTCGTGGGGGAAGGGATGGGGAGAGGATGGGTATATGAGGATCAAGAAGGATGTTTCTGAGACTGAAGGGTTGTGTGGTCTGGCAATGGAAGCTTCTTATCCTACAGCGTGATAATGATATGTATATATATATATATATATATATAAAAAGAGATAATGGAGTGGTAAATGGTACTCGGTCGATCGTGTGACATAAATAATTGATGAACCTATAAATTAAATGTAGTAGGTACTTGTTTAATTTTTAGTATGCATGTATAGTATATTTGTCAATAACTAGATGTAAAGTCAAATTCAGTTCAGAAAAAAGGTGTAAGTTCAAAGTGATGTATGTATTTGCTCATGGTATAAAGGATTGCTGGATGGCTGGTGATTATTTATAATCGTTGTTATAAGAATCGGACCGGTTCGACAAGTAAACCGGTGGAATTGTGTAACAAATTATAATGAAATGCGGTCTATTTTGCTTCAATGGTCCATGATAAACTGGATGATTTTTCACTATTGGAATCGGAACCGAATAAATTATCCTAATTTGACTAGTTCATTAGTTCACTATTTTAACTATTAGAATTAATGTTTAAGATAAAAAAAAACTTTAATATGAATTTTGTACCATCAACTAATTTAATTTATACTCCGAATTTTCTTTGTTGGATTTATGTGAACCACTATCTACTGCATCCTAATTACTAATTTGAATTTTATAAAAATTTTGTTTGATTTTGTTTAGACAGTTTGAATGCTCTCTTAGAATTTTTGGTGACAATAATATAAATTTGAAATTATTTTTTATTAATAAAAAATTAAGTCCTATACTAACATTATTTATATATATATATATATCTTAGATATTCTAAGTTAAAAATAATTTTATAAACAGTTAGCCAACAATTTTATAATAGTTAACAGTACTTTTATAGTTTAACAATCCGCCAACTTATTTTTTCAATATTCAATCCATGTTCAATATTCAAACTCAAAGATACCATTACATATCTTATTAAACTCTGGAAAATGCTTTATATGTTTGTTATTTGGCTCTAATAAAATCTTAAGGAATTATGAGGTTTTCCAGTTACAGAACGTTTACATTTTCTTTGTTTACAATAAAATGGGGCTTTTGGATTGACAAAATTCTTTGTTCAAGATGTAATTTTCATTTTTTATATAATAGCAACATACTAGTGACATTTATTTGGAGGAGGCCCAAGAGTGAAAGATAAACATGTTTCTTAACTAAGCACTAAAGAAATACACATGGTTTAGACAAAACAAAAGAATTGGACAATTGCATCTGATTAGCATCTAATCAAGGTGTAGTTGCAATTTTTTTATGAATGATATCAAAACAAAATTTTAGCTATTGGGACACTTTACCTCTACTTCCCATTACCGTATAATATTAATTAAATAACAAACAACAAAAAAGGTAGTTACAACAACTGTAATATTCATCCTTATAAATATGTTAACCATCATCATAAAACTACATAGGGTCGAGTTTTCTCATCGCATCATGTAACTGAATTTCCCTTATAATCATTCTAACAAACACATCACATAACTTATCTAGAAGTCAACATAAGTAATTGATGCAATTTGATTAGAAAATGAAACTTTACTATTTGGAATTAAATGGAGAGGAGAGCTTGTGCAAATCCGACGGTCCAAGATAGGGTCAGTAACCACTGGTTACTGACCCATCAGTAACCACACGCCGGCCGTAGATCTGGGGATGGAGAAATCGTGTGGATGGGCTGGACGCTGGGTAGGGAGGGGCATTTTTGTCCGTTTTTGTATTTTTAATTTTTTTCATTTATTCCGCATTTCAATGGTTGGCTTTTCAATGAAAGAAAGAGAATGGTCTTTTCTCTACAACTCAACTTTCTTCCTTCTCTCTTCCTTTTTTTCAATCTCTTTCCAGATCCTTTCTATTTCTCTATTCCTTCTCTCTTATTTTTTCTCTCACAATTTCCTTTTCAAATCTAAATCTGCTCTCTTCCTTCTTCATTTTTTTTTTTCTCTAGCATAAAAATTGTAGCCACTCTCTTTCATTGCATTTCTTCTCTTCATCAACTCGTTGGACTCAATTCCGATCTTTCTCATTTTTTTGGCATTTTGGTGTTCTTGATTGAGGAAGAGGAAATGAGAGGCATCAGAAGACGATTTTTTTCTCTCCCTCCTTCTGTTTTTTTCCTTTTAGATAATATATATTGATATTATGACTCTATACCATATGGTATTGGGTGGTAACGAAATATATATTGACATTACCACACTATACCCTATGGTAATTTATGGTATTGCGTGGTAACGAAATATATATTGATATTACCACTCTATACCATATGGTATTTTGTGATATTACCACACTATACCATATGGTATTGTGTGGTAACGAAATATATATTGACATTACTACTCTATACCATATGGTATTGTGTGATATTACCACACTATACCATATGGTATTGTGTGGTAACGAAATATATATTGACATTACTACTCTATACCATATGGTATTGTGTGGTAACGAAATATATATTGATATTACCACACTATACCATATGGTATTGGGTGGTAACGAAATATATATTGATATTACCACACTATACCCTATGGTAATGTATGGTATTGCGTGGTAACGAAATATATATTGATATTACCACTCTATACCATATGGTATTGTGTGAATTGTGTGATATTACCACACTATACAATATGGTATTGGGTGGTAACGAAATATATATTGATATTACCATACTATATCATATGGTATTGGGTGGTAACGAAATATATATATATGCTCTTGTTTAATACCAGTCAATACCATATGGTATAGACTGGTAATAACTGACAAATTTTTTTGTGTCCAAAAAATATCAAAGTGGATATCAATTTGAAGAGCACAATTAATCTGATCTAACTGTGCAAAAAAAATTAAATTTCGACTTAAAATGAATGAGAAATCGTCTGTTAAAAATTAAGGAAAGGAAAATTAAATGTTTTGCGAGGAGAGAGAAGGGGCGCTGATATGCTCCGGTCAAAAGTGAGCATCAGCAATAAATAGGAGTAAGTGCAATTTTACCGTACTGCCATTTTCACATTTAATTTAAATAAAAAAAATGATTGACACGTGGGACCAGGAAAGGGGTTACTAATGGGTTACTGATCCATCAGTTACTGACCGGATCTGGACTCAATCCGACTAAGCTAAAGCTAGCTATGCCGAATGAATTTGGAAAAGATGGAGGCTTGAGCAAAGTTTAAGTACAGATGTTTACGGAAATGTGGCAACATTGGTTGTTTAAATCATTCCCAAGCCAACAATAAAGTAGAAGGAAAACACTGCAGGTAATGAAACTTTAATGAACTTACGAACAATGGGGATTTGAGCAGAGTCAAAATACAAATAATTATAGAAAAGGGGGAGTGTTTGATAGAGAAAAAAGTTTAAAAAATACATTTTTGAACGGTGGTAGGTTGAGAGAAGACGAAACACAAAAGGTAAACAAATTCTTCTCAGTTTTTTATTTATTTTTGGGTATAATGATGATGAACTTATATTAAATAAAAATTGTATCTTTCCAAGAGGAGTGGAAGAGAAACAAAGTGTAAGGAAAAAACGAGATCAGACAAAATGCAATTATTGTGAAGATTATTGGGAACAATTTAGATAAATAACCCAGATTTTATGTACAATAATGTATGAGCATAACTACTCTCCATTAACTTTTAACTAACTATACCTAGCTCATTTGTTTTAAGTTGATTTTTTTTCAAAGACAAATTGCATTACTTATACTACATAAAACAACATTCAGTGTGATATATTTTGGAAAAAAAATCATATTAATGGAGGAGGTATCATATACCATGGCGGTACATATTATTGAAATATTTTGAACACAAATATATTGAAATACATATTGTTAGTTGATCAAAGTGAATCATTTTTTAAAACTGAATATTTTGAACACAAATATAATCTGAATGATAAAGGAAGGAATAAAAAAATTATTTAAAATTTAACCATTGGATCTATTTAATGACTTGATTTTGATTATATAATCTACATATTTTGGCATAATGCGTAAGAATCTAAGCAAATGTTGTCCATCATTATGCACCCAGGAAAATGCAATGAATTATATCAAAAATAAAAAGAGAAAGGAAAATAAATAAATTGCATTAGTGAAAAATTAAAGATATGAATTTTAATTAGTGTGTATGGATGGGTATAAAGTGTGCCCTTTTCTATAAACATTTACTATATTTTTACAGACTAAACTGAATTTCGAATTTATTTTTAAAATTTTGATTTTTCCCTAACATATGTAACTATATATTAAATTAATATGAATGGGAAAGTAACAAATTTATTTTTAGTTATTAATGATTCCTGGTTATGAAGAAAATAGAATACGCAATTCATCCATCGCAATTTTTTTATATAATTTATGTAAAAAAATTTTAAATTCAAAATCATCTGATAACATGAGTACTAAGTTTATTGTATTTGAAAACATCAACATCGCTTGCCCTATTGATTAAATGTTTTAAGTGATAATAGGCTAGCTGGACTTTTAAGTTGCAAGTTCGAAGATATATTTATTTAGTTTTAATTGAGGCCGACTAAAAGCTATTGATATGGTTACCAATTGGGGGGTTCCCAGTCAGATATTTGGGTGTTCCATTAGTGGCTTGTAAACTCTCAGTTACTGCATGTAAGCCACTTATAGACAGAATCACAAGGAGAGTCCAGGGGTGGAAAGCAAAGGCGCTTAATTATGCAGGCAGAGTTGAACTGGTTGGAGCTGTTTTGTACAGTATGTCTCAGTACTGGATGACAGTCTTTACTTTGCCTAAGACAGTTATAAGAGAAGTTGAAAAAATATGTAGCAATTTCCTTTGGTCTGTTGGCCCTGGGTTGAAGCTTAAAGATAAAATGGCATGGAAATACTTGGCAGTTCCGAAGAAGGAAGGTGGGCTTGGGTTAAGAGATCTCTCAACTTGGAACTATGCTTGTGTGTTTAGACAGATCTGGGCTATCATGTTACAACATGGTTCTTTGTGGGTGGCATGGATTCAAGCTTACAAGCTAAAAGGGAGGGACTTCTGGACTGTGACTGTAGATGGATCCTGGAAATGGAAGAAGCTGCTGAAGCTTCGAGGTAAGGTCCCTAACCTGTTTAGCTTGACCAATGGCGAGCTTTATTGGAATAATGTTGTTATGCCAAGGTACTCGATTAAGAAGGTTTGGGATGTTATTAGGCCAAAGCAAAGGGAAGTGAACTGGTATAGTTTACTTTGGACAGGGACCTCTATTCCAAGGAACAGATTCCTTGTGTGGCTTATCATCCGTAACAAGATACAAACAATTGATCAAATGAAAAAATGGGGGTATGCTGGGCCAGATAAGT